GGGGAAATTGCAACCTCTTCAGTGTTTTGTTCTTCAGCCTCATACTTGTGGATTTTAAGATGTGGTTTGGATAACTGATTATTATCACATTTTCACATCTCCTAACTTTTGACTTCAGAAAACCTTGGTTTTGAGAGAAACGTTCAAAGTCAACTCCATGACTGCATAGTAGATCGGCTCTGTGGTAGAAAACCAGCTCATCTTTAGACCTCCATTCCTCTCCTCGATAGTCAGCATGTTGGCACAGATATGTGTTGTTTTCATAAAAAATTTATCAAATTTGGTCTAAACTTTTTAAGAACTTGTGCTTCCGCTTTTCTAAGTAATTCCTTTTGAAAGGTTTATGGGGCTCTTGTTCACACTTTGGCAGATTATCTGAGCAATGTATAATTTGACCGAATGATGAATTTGTTTGTCCTTCCCTTTCTGTGAGGACTGTCATCTGTCCTAAGCAGTCTGTTTACCTTATAAACAATATGTCTCACTTTAAAATGATGGATTTCAGATTGTTTGGAAATGCCCCTATAACCTTTCCAAGATTGATAGTCAAAAACAGCTGCTTTTCTAAGGTCACTTCTAAAATTTCTCCTTACTGGCATTGTGTTAACACACATCCGTATCTTCCAAAGCACCACAATGTTAAAGCCCCTAATTTTATAGAAGGTTATCAATAATTAATCAGCAGCAAATAGGCTTCAAGATTTCCCGTCTAAATATTGGTAAAGGAATCAGGTATGCTTAGTATAACATCTTTTCTATTTATTTTACTTTTTAGTTATATTCTATATATAATGACAGAGTTAAATCTGTTGCAATGTTATGATATATGGGAATAAACATAGGTTGCATGCTTGCTGATAATAACATGTTAAGCTGAATGTCTACTATAAATAGATGATATATTGACAAAAACCTTGATAATGGTCATTTCATCATATTGCTATCAGGTTGATAAGTAAAACATGGCTGATATCAACAATTAAGTTTATTTTCATTCATTTGTTCTTCTGTGTTTTATGATGGGGGGCTTGACGTGTTTTTTATTTAGTCATGAGACAGTGATAACGATGCAGAGCAGGGAAGGAGTATTGGTACTATGAACGTTTTTTCAAGGTGCCAATGTGGTGGGGAAATATATAATATGGGTAAATATCATCAATATTAATATCTGATATCCATATCAGCACATGTTGTCATATAGTTGCATTCCTAATTTTTACCAACAGAGTCTCAAGGGTGTTTGTTGAGTAGTAGTGATTTATTCCTTATGAAGAAATGTAAAACAGGGGATGAGACTGACCGAGCTGAAGTTGGGGCTGCTGGTCTGCAAAGACGATCCTGAACCATCCAGGTGTAGAGCATGAAAATGCTTGGCCGCAGCTCAACAACACTTTGTGTCTGAGAAAACGCCTCCAAAGAGCCAACTCTGCCTCAAATGATGACTCGCTCAGATACTTTGAAACAACAACAAAGAGTTGACATTTAAACAACAAACCCCCATGTTTTCCAAGCTAATAGAAAATATTGATCTCAACAGAGATAAATGCGTTACTGATATTGATAGTTTTGGGGGGTTTTACCTTCCTAAAGTCAGCCCAAACATAGAGGCCAGCAGGTCTGTCCAGGAAGGGGATGCCAATGCTTCGCAGCTCTGTGGTAAGAAGACTGTGAGAACTTTTTAGCCTGCAACGGTTCCCTGGTAGAAACTCGTTGTTGATCCAGTCTGTGAAAATGCAAAGTCACATGTACAGTTTAAATCACCAAACTTTCTTCACTTTACTATACTGTAAAGTAGTACGTCAGATTGCCATATAAAGGAGGGGGTAGATTAAATCGTTTTGGGAGATTTTGAAAGTTTTAAATGACATTCAATGACCTGTTGACTGAAGTGAAAGGTTATTCTTTTGATCAAAGCAGAGTTTTAGCATATATTTGTCATTTTTTTGTTTTTGTTTTGGTATAGGCAAATATTTCTTGGCTGTTACACCACCTATGGAGTCCCACAGGGCACTGTTTTAGCCACCCTGTTGCTTACTTTATATTTTAACTTTGTGTTCTTTTTTGGAGCTATAATATAACCCCCAAAGTTTTGCAGATTATCTTTTTCACCCATGAAGTTGAAAAAATTAATAGCAATGCATTAATAAGACTCTCCATATAAATTATAATAGTTTGCTCTCAAAAATGGTAATGGTTCAGATCTTAGCTGAGACCATTAGCTTGTTGCTGTTGCTGAGAATTGTCTTTCAAAATCATTTTATGGTTTGGATTTAAATGTATTCACAGTACAGAGTCATCTCTCTTAAAAGTTTTTTTATGTTTTTTTTTTTTACTGACTCTGGTGACTGTGTTGTCTTGTTGTTAGATCTGTCAGTTACTTTTGACACAGTTGACCACAGAACTTACTTTTTCGTTTGGAACAGTGGGTGGGGGGTGGCCATACAGCTCTAGATTGGTTTAAATCTTATTTGGCCAAGCTTTATGTGTTTGTCTTCATAGCCACATGTTCTTCTCTGCTTCATTAGTGTGTGTTGTCCTGCAGGGCTTTATTCTGATCCTCTTCATGTTGTACCTCCTCCCACTTGGCTTTCTTTTTAAGAATGATGGGATTTATTTTCATTGTTATGAAGATGATACACAGATTTATGTCCCACTAAAGAAAAATGACATTACCTTTCCTTGTTCTACCCTTTCTTGCTTGGCAGACCAGAAAAAAAAGATGGCTCTAAGCTTCTTAAAACTTGATGATGAAAAGACAGAGGTGGTGTTTTTTGGTATTTCCAGGGAAATCTACCTGACTGCTGCTGCGTCTGACCCAGTATGTCAGGCCTACTATTACACATTTAGAGGTTAAAATAGATTATGTTATTAAGTTTTTAAATCACATTAAAGCTGGTGTAAAATCCAGCTTTTTTTCACTTGAGTCAAATAGCAAAATTAAAACGCATTCTTTCTAGTCATTTTGAAATTGTATTCTATGCCTTTTTAACCACTTGGTTAAATTACTGCATTTTGCTCCGTATGAGTCAGTGATTCATGCATCTTCCAGCTTCAGAGAGTAAAGAATGCTGCTGCATGTTTCTTAAAAAGTATCAGTACAGTACATTTAACATATTTCCTATATTTTAGCTGATTTACACTGGCTGCCAGCATATTTTAGGATTCTTTTAAAAATCGTTTTGTTTGCTTTTAATGGCTTTGATCCACTCTACCGGTCTGATCCGCTTCATCCATACACACCCTCTCAGATCAGCTGACCAGCTGTTACTGAGGGTGCCAAAGACGAGCTCCAAAGCTGTGGAATGACCTTCCCTCAGGCATTAGACAGGCCTCTTCACTTTCTGCTCTTAAATCCTTTCTTAAAATCCATGCCTTATGTTTGAGGTTTGACATAATCTGAGATGTCTGACTTTGCTTTATTTCATTATTTTATTATGACTTTTATATATTGCTTTGTTTAATATTTTTTTGATTGATCATTTTGTATCTTATGATTGTGTGTAGCACTTTATTCCTGTGGATGTTTTAATGCTTCATAAATAATCTGTATTGTAAAATGAGTTTAAGCCTGCTCTTCTTATGGAAAAAAAATAAAATCTTTAAAGCATTTTATTGAACAGATATTCATTTGATCCAATTAAAATTGAAAGAGCAGGTGTTTGATTGATAATATCAATTTTACCTAAAAAAAAAAATGTTTGATAGTCTTTTTAACAAGTTACTGACAAACTTGTGTGGTTTCAACAGCTAGTAGATGGGAGTCAAGGTAGTTACTGGTTCATCACTAAACCAACAAGTTTCTTTTACAGGAGAGGCTTGGGAGGCTCCAAAGAAATCTGGCTCTGATAATTAGTAAAATTTCCATCAGTTACAAAATTTGCACTTGTTTTTATATCATATTTTCTATGTTTAAATAACCTAAGGTCGGAGCTTCAAAGATTTCTAAGTTGATATCTTTTTTGTTGTATTTTTTTAAAGTCCCTTTTATAAATGAGATGTCAGACCTAAACAAAATAACCTTTATAAATAAAGGTTAAACGCAAAAACAATAACAGATTTATTCATATTTCCTTGACTTTATAAAAACAGAGAAGAAACAATCTAGCATTTTAAGTTAGATACTGTAAACAACCAAACCACTGCTCTTGGGCTCTTATCAGTGTATCCTCTGTTAAGAGCGTTTGACAGCCCATATAAAAATGGCAATTTAATTACCAAATGTTAATTCTTAAAACTAGCTTCATATGTAAACTAGTATTTCATAAATGTTTAATTATAAACAGAGTTTATAATTCTTACTATAAAGGGACAAATATCTTTTATACCATAAAAAAACTGGTGCAGAATACCACAGCCCAGATTGTGCAAAACAGTCAGAGCATAATTTAGCTCAGAGTTGGCCACCATTGTTACACTGTGCCTTACGAGGTGGACTTTAAGACTCATTAAAGCACCAGCCGAGCAGCTCCTTTATTAGCAGACTTATACACTCCGTGTGTAAAAAGGAGCGCTACTGCAGGTCATTCATCCCTGCTGCCATTGACTTTACAATGCCACTGGATTATAACCTGGTATAATAACACTGCGATAACTTATACTATTTATCTATTTAACAAACCAGAAACCACACTTTACCTTTACTGTACATAAGATACTGTATATATAAGTCACCTTAAATCTCTCCTTTATTTTTTACCATCCACTTTAAATATCTAGATGCACTATATATACTTCATGCACATTTTCCTCCTTAATTGCCCTTCTGTTTGTTTATTAGAGCAAATGTCACAAGTGAATTTCTCCATTGTGAGATCAATAAAGTTCTATTATATTCTATTGATGTTATTGGTTCTTACGACTCTATCATACCTAAAACCTCTTTACGTCATTATTTTTCATCTAAAACACTGAGGTCAAACAACTAGAACCTTCTAGGTATCTTCAGAACATGAGCTAAAAAGAAAAGATCATCACATCTATTCAAATCAACTGCAGTTTGACATCTTGATTAAACATTTTATGTAAAATTTTTACATAAAAATGTATCTTTATTTATATTAAGCATTTTATTGCGTTTTTATTCATTATTCAAATCTGTAAATAGAATTTAGTTGATCTGTTCAGCTTTTCCCCTTTGTGGATTTATTTGTTTTTTTCAAGGATAATCTTACAACTTTTCTTATGTCTAATCATTAATGTCATGTAGTTTGGAGCAATTGACAAATATTTACGGTGCAATATGACAAATATTACACATTGACAGCTTTTATTGCTTTTATAAAAAAAAAAAAAAAAAAACATTCTGTGAGGGAAAAAAATGATCAGCTTTTAACAATTAATTGTCAGAGATGATTTGTTTATACAGACACTTAAGAATCTTGGCTCATACCTCTGTCCCGGAGCAGCTGAGCCACCTGGTGCTGCAAAGTTCCAGGCAGACCGTGGAAGGAGCCCAGCTGAGCCAAAGCCTCCACAAGATCTGTGTTCACAGTATATAAAGTACCAATCCTGATTCCTGCCATTGCAAAATCCTAGAAAGGGAAAAAAAAGACAGAAAGAATAACAAAAAGCTGTGAGACCAAATACCCACAGAAGGAAACTTTTAATTCTGTTCTGTCAGCAGGAATGCAGAACTCTCTGGTTGGCAGTAAGTACCTTGCTCATCCCCCACATCACATGCGTCCTCTGTGGGTCGGGCAAACTGAAATAAGGGCAAATCAGTGGGAGATAAGAGAATGTCCTCAGTCGGAATTGTGATGATTAAGGTTCTAATACAGTAATCATGCAGAACCTCTCAATGCTGAGGACACTGTGAAAGGTGACAGACTCATCAAAGACCGTCAGCATGTACACCTCATCTACAATGGCGTGCAGCTCATTTCTGAAAAGAGATGCCACAAAAAAAACTATTTTCATGCTTTCACTCACTATTAACAACAAAGAAAATGCAAAAATAAATGTAAAATGATCCCTGTAGTGTCTGCTGTCAGTGTAAAAGCCCAGAGATTTATGGCTATAGCAGCTCTGCACGCTGAGGGGAATTACTCTTGTGACTCTTAGGCACATGGCTGTATTTGACAATATGCTGATGTTAAGAAGAGGCGATAAAAGTCTATGACAAACACTTGTTATTCTACACACTGTAGAGAACACATCACAGATGTGCAGGAGGATTTACATCCGGCTAAACCGTTGGATAATAGAGGGGTAAACATACCTTTTAGCAAACTCTAAGAAGGCAATCATTTCCTTTGGAGTGTAGATCTCAGCCAGAGGATTGTGAGGGTTCATGAGAATAAGGGCTCGAATGTTCTTCCCCTTAAAGAAAGCAACAGCCTTTAAGTAAATATAAACTCCCTTAAAGTGCTAATGAGAAAAATACCCCATTCAGTGTATTTTCTTATTTGAATTTATGAGATTATCCTGTCAATGGAATACCTCTTGCTTAGCCTTTCTCAGCCCTGCTTCCAGTTTCCCAACGGTGAGGTGAAAGGGTCTGCTGTCTTTGCCATCAGCCTATATATGACCAATAAGAAAAGGCAAAACAAAAACATTTTAGACATAAACAAAATTACCTCATGTGAGTAAACATGATCACTTTATTTTACATTTCAAATGATGATTCAGTGACTGTTGAACTGTTGAAACTCTAATCAAGTCACAAATCAGACTCTTCATCACACTGTAAACATATTAGCACTACATGGCGAATTTTCAAATCTCACTAAATAGAATTCTAGTGTCAAGTGTTAAGTGTTCTACTGCATTTTGCACCATATTTATCTATTTTTTTATTTTTGCACTGCTCTGAACCTTCCATATCAATGCCTTTTGCACCATATATCTCCTACACTGTTTACATTTTGATCCCTGCTGCAGTTTATAAATGGAAATGTTTGTTTTCCATAAAAACAGATCAGTATTCTTACCTCACAATCCAGAGGAATATGGAAGAGTTTTACAGCACTGTACAAATTCAGATCTTCAGTTATGACTCCATAGAAAGGAGTAGGAATAAGAATGGCATCTGAAAGAGAGAAACACACAGCGAAAGGTAGATTCTAAGAGGGGGCAGTTTACATGTTGGATTTTGAAAAAGATGCTTAATTATAAAGAACACTAAATAAAAATACACTTTTTAGACACTTATTTGCAACAAAATAAAACATAAAAACGGTCTATTATATTTTTCTTCTACATTACAGTTTGGTCTATCACAGCAAATCCCCATAAATATATATAAAATATTGGATAACAGTAAAGGAAAAGGTAAAAATATTTAAGGTTTTGCATGGCATGTAATAATAATATAATTTTGAATATTTTTAAATTACATTTCAGAAAAATAAACAATTTATATTTTTAAATCACCTATTTTCTATATTATTTAAGTTTTCAGTTTTGATATTTTTCATGACGCTAAGATTTAGTCCATAGAGACTATTTGTGTCAGTAAAAGGCTAAGGCTGGTTTAGTGATCCATCCTGGAGGCAAGAGATAAATTTAGTCTGAAAAGAAGCTCAGCGGTGCCTAAAAAGAGGTCATGCCTGCGTTTGAACTGAAAAACATGCCATTTATGGAGCTGATTGAATACCTGTGTTTTTTCTCCAACTTGTTGTGTCTACAATATGAGTTTAAAAAAATAAAAAGCTCTCTGTTGCGTGGATATTTGTATTCAGCTAACGCAGGTGCTTGCAATATGCCTTTTTCAGCCCACCTTGAGGATCACAAATTACAGCAGCAATACATGAGAAGAGCGAACCACAGCCATTCATCACCACAACCTGAAAGAAACACAACAAATGGTGAAAACAGTCTTCTATGAAAGAGCCAACAAAATAACAGAGTTGGTAAATATGTGGTAAACTCATCCAGCTACTAAACCAGAGGTTGTTTCCAAAAGCAAATTAAGCAGAGAGCAAATTGGCATATTGTAGATGTGTTGCATGTATAGTTGCAGCTCAGTGAGTCTGTTTGACAATGTATATAATTATGCTGTTACAATAGAGTTTTTGTAAAATAAAATAAAAAAAAAACCTTTATGATACTGTTTATCCCTGTTCTATCACCAGCTGTCTTCGGGCAAGAGGCGGGGTCACCCTGAACAGGCTGCCAGTCCATCGCAGGGCAACACAGAAACAAACAACCATTCACACAAATACTCAAACCTAAGGAGAATTTAGAGAAGCCGTTAAACCTAACATACATGTTTTTGGACTGGGAGGAAGCCAGAGTACCGGGAGAGAACCCACGCTTGCACAGGGACAACATCCAAACTCAATGCAGAATCGAACCCCAAACCTTCTTGCTGCAAGGCAGCAGTGCTACCCACTGTGCCACTGAGCAGCACATTATTGTCTATCGATTGGATATTATCAGCCATAAAAACCTACTAGAAAATAGAGGAGGCAAAGCCATTTCATGGGACCGATAACGGCCAATAAAAGCCATTTAATGGTTGATCACATCCAAAATGAGTGCAACCCTGTCGGTGTCAGTCACATTTCTGATTAGATTCTCTGGTTCTAATTCAGGATAAACGTGACGAAAAATGGATGGATGATACTGTTTTTCATACGTTTTTTTTGTTGTTGTTGTTGTTGATTAAAAATAACATAGAACACATTTTTTTTTAACACTTCAGTTTTTTTTTTTTTTTTACTCCAGTGTTAGTCTAGTTAGTCTGAATAATAAACTTTTTTCTTTGTTGTACTTTACATGTCCTGGAACCAACTTCCTTAAATTAAAAACAGAACCTGAACTGAAGCTGTTCCCTCTTTTAAATTACAACTACATATCAATGCATTTGCACTTCCTAATATTTTCTTGTGAAGTTGAACGCTTATTTTATTTCTTTATGTCTATCATGTCTTTACTTTTTTTTCTTTTTTCTTTAGATTGACATTTCCCATTTTTTCTTTACATCTAATGTCTACATTCCACAGTTATTTTGATATATATAATTTGTTATCTATCTGTTTTTGCCATTTTTGTGAAACCCTTTGCATAACAATCCCTTATAAACCTTTCACTACCCTGCACTTTAATGACGCTGTAGTGATATAGATGGATCTATTCTACATATATCTTTTGGGCCAAAGTAGTCTGTGTGCTTTGTTGTCACTGAGGCAACTGTCAACTCCTCTGTGTACAAAGTAATCTTCAGTCAAATGCGGGGCCATCTGTGCAAAAGCTGAATGTTGGCTTCAAGTGGGCTTCTAAGCAGTACTGGTCCAAAGCATGGTGCATCGATAATAAAGTGTCTGCAAAAGAAAATTTAGATTGATCTAAAAATATTCAACAGACAATGTGAGAAATTCACAAAACAAAACAGATGATAATTTGACCTATTGCTACCAAGGAAAATGTCTGGACCATTAAACATTTTAAGCTCAGCCTCAGAGTGGAAGGTAAACGCAGGGACATTGGTACCTAAAGTTTTTATCCCTTATCGATTAGCTCATGATTCCTATGTAGAGTGGTTAAAAGGAAAAAATGTTTCTTTGGGAGATGAGAAGCTAACAGAGCAGATCTGAAACGTCGAAGGCAGCAGCGTGATGAAGGTCGGTGCTGTTTAAAAGTGTTATGTGAGAACTATAGTTTACCCTGAATGGTTCCAAATGGTCTGTGCAACACTGCACCAGGAAGAGCAGGGGGGTGGTGTGAGGAGAACATGACCAACCTGCTGCTGTGCAGGACTTTATGCATGCAGATAGGTCAGGCCCTCACATCCAACCTGTGTTTGACCTGTCACAAGCTCTACTTTTAGCAGGCTTCATAACCTCAGTTAGAAAAACTTAAAAAAAAAAAAAAAAAAACTTTTTTTCTATATTCACTTAAGTTATAACCGTCTGTACATCAAATTGTTGATATCTAACCAAAAGTACTGGAACTACTCACATTATCAGCTCTCAGTGGCTTGGGAGAGCAGCAGTAGTGAGACAGGAACTTTGCAACTTCTTCTCTAAGACTGAAGGGAGACAAAAATTGTTATTTAAAAAGATAACCACCTGAGATGTTCATTTCAACATGAAAGGATCTGAAGGTTCTCACAAAGTGTGCCCAATCCAGCTGGAATACTGCAACAGGGAGGGCTCCACGTGCAACATGTCAGGCTTAGTTAACTGTTGCAGAAAAGAAATTGGAGCATTTGTACAGGCAGCGGGAACGACTGAAAAACGGTCTAGACAATCATATTACAGTATTTACGGTGGAACATTTACTGACTATGTTAGACAAGCAGATACTTGTCTTAAAGGTATAGTGGAGGATTTTCCCAAATTTTTGAAAAGACCTACTCTCTCCACTTAAAAAAAAATGCGCATGCACAACCCTGTCCCCACTCCCAAGTGGGAACGCCTATTTAACGCGTGCACAAGCATGCAAAGCACATTTCTCCTTGTGCACGCTCTGTTTAAATGTTTTTGTCATACAAGCTTATTTTCCAAAAGAAGATTTGCTATTTTTTCACTGTCTGACTCACCACCGGTAAGAACACATGGGACAGCCTTACGTAAACATATCGCCAGAATGATTGACAATTAGGAGGACCACTTATTTTGATGATGCACCCGGAAAAAGAAACATTCTCCCCTATACCTTTAAATCACTATATTGTTCTATTATTTAGAAGCGTTGCTGGTTCTCATAAGGGGGAAAAATTCACTTAATAAGCTGGGGAAAGCTCATTTTGTGCTTCCTCTAACATCTCTGTAAGAAGCTCCTCAATATTCTTCTTGGCTTAAATGTGAATTAATTTCATGTAGCATCATTTTTTAGAACCGTGTGTCCATTTAATTGTCTCTCAATAAAAAAATAAGATGGAAACTATTTGTAAATTAGCTTGACACAAAATGCCCTAAACATTTTTTATTATTATTTGTAGGATTCCTGCATCATGTCATTATGTGTGTGACTGTATCATGTATCTTACTCTTTTATAAAGGAGATCATAGCACAGTTTGTTCTCACTGGTTCCCAAGTTGACTATACCCTGGAAACAGGAAACAATGTTATAATCTTGATTTATGGATCCTGTTACATTATGATGCCAACTTACATCAGGATTGTCTGTTTGGTGATATTTGTCCATTGCATACTGGATAAAGCCCTCTTGGAGAATGCCTTGATGCTGTCTAATGCTGTTACCGCGACTGGACAGATAAATGCTGTGGCCAGGAGCCTCTGAACCTCTCAGTGTTCCTAAAACCTCCTGTGACACTTGGCAGGTCTTGACAGATGTGGGCTGGGACTTTTTTGTCTCCTGAGTGTAGACAGGCTGTGCTGCGGGCGCCTCTGGGGGAGGCTGAGCTAAAGATGACGAGACAGTGGGGCCGACTGAGGCCACGGGAGGAGTAGCCAGATGAGCCAGAGGTGAGACAGGCGGATTGGATGTCACGGTAGCTGAGGAACCTTGTCTGGTGGTGAACAGCGCCCCCGTGAGCATGCTGAGCAGGTGGAGCTCATGCTGCCTCTCCATTTCTGCCCTTCTCTCCTCCCTCTGCTCCCTTCGCTCCTCTGCCTGGAATTCTCTCTCCAGTCGAGCCTCCTCCAGGGAGAGGAGGCGCTCCTCGGCAGACTTCTGCCAGTTCAGGAAACTGACCAGAGCCTTGTCCAGGCTCTCCCGACCACCTGATTTGCCACATGAAGCTCTGCCACCCCGCCTACGCTTCCTCTGTTTCACACAACCTGACCCATGAGGAACCTCCCTGTGGAGCTGCTCAGATGTTTCTTGCATCACAGGACCAATCTGAGTGGCAGATGTTGCAGAAGCAGCAGCGGTCCTCTCACTGAAACCTAAAAATATAAATATATATTACTCTCTGAAACAAAGTACAAAAGAAAAATATGTTAGAAATACATTTGTATATATAATGTGTGTGTATTGCAGTAGAAGAATCTCACACTGTTTTATTTTTTAGTTTTTAAGAGAAAATATATATCGACAGAATTAGGGCTGCAACTAACGATTAATTTGCAAACTGATTAATCTGTCAATTATTGTTTTGATTAATAATCAGAGAGCCAACGCGTCCTTTAAGAAGATTTTTTATGAAACTAGACCAGGTGAAACTAATTTTTTTTCCAATTGAGGAGTTTTGGATAGAGCATATTGACAGACGAGAAAATTTTTCTATTTTAATGCAAAACGTTTACATTATTTTCTTTACAATTTTGGTATAATTGCTGAAGGGTGGTTGCTCTGTCAGCTAGAGACATGCATTAAAGTCTCTATATTCCAGTGAACGATTAATCAATTACTAAATTAGTTGATGATTATTTCAATAATTAATTAATCACAATTAATCTGATTGTTTCAGCCTTAGATAGAAGTCTAATTAAGCTAAATGCTAATGAACCATCTTTCACTCTTTAAAAGTTTTTCTAAGTTGATCAGAGAGCTCCGAATGAACTAAAGCATCTCAGCAGATGAACATAGATCAACATCTAAACCTTGACAGGCCGGTTTTCCCTCAGTTAAGGTCAGTGATTATGATTCAACCATCATGACATTAGGGCAAGAAAACTGCGCTAATGTGGCGTCTAGGGGAGAGTTTCAATGTGAAAGACTGTTGTTGGTAAAAACATGGAATGTAAATTCGCCAGCTGACGAAGACTTAATTTAAAAATATTATATTCGCTGAGCAGACAAAATTGAAACTTTTTCAAAGGTGGTTGTTCTGCGAAAAAAAATAACATTTAAGAAAAAAATAACATCATACCAGCAGTCAAACATGGCGACGGTGGCGTAATTATCTGGGGCTGTTCTGCTTTATGACCTGGATGAATTACTGTAAGTTGTGATATCTGCTTTCTACCTAAAACCCTGAAGATAAATATTCACCTTGGTGACCTTAAATTCAAATGCATATGGAGGACAATGATCCATATAATTTAAAAAAAAGATTTGAGTTTCCTTTTCTGAGTCTGTGTGTTAAAATTGAGAGGTTGTGCTTTACAGAGAATTCATGCTTAAAACACAATGAAAACAATCCTGCAAAAAGAAGTTAGACATAATTCTCTCAAGTGGCCATGATGCTTGGAATAAGTTAATTCCTTGATTAACTACCTTGTGATTAAGGAAGAATTTCATTTAACCATACTGTAATATTATCAAAGGTTAGATTTCTCCTGGTTCTTGCTGTGAGATTATGCTACTGCACAAATAAGAGGATTTATTCAAAAGCTTTAATAAGAGAGCCAAGAAATGTATAACCATATGTCGCATGCTTATTTTTTTAAACTGGAGATTGTATTTGCCTGAGGGGGAGACTCTTGTATTAGTCGAGGCTTCAGCTTGACCCAGTGTGTCCTCTGCTTCCAGTAGAGACTGTCCATCTGTTTCCCGATCATCCCCGCAGACATAGTACATCTCTGGTGGTGCAACCCCAGAGTTCAGCATGCTCTCCTCAGCATCTTCACATTTTATATCCAGTGAATCTTCAGCTTTAGGTGGCTGGCCGAACAGAAACCCACCTGAGGATGAGGGGCCAAACGAACCGACAGGGACCCCCTGCAGGTATGCCTCAGAGCCACCTGAGCCCTGGAACACCTGCTGAGCAACAACAGCTCCTCCCAAAGAGGAGTAGCTGACAGCCGGGCGATTCGCCAACACTCTGTCCATCACGTCATAAAACTTCCAAGTCCTCATCTTGTGGTTGTCTTTAATTCGCCTATACTCCAGCTTCATCTTCTTGATCTTTTCCCTACATTGGTCGCCTGAGCGGTAGATGCCCTTTTCCCGCAGAATGTGCGCGATGCGGTCAAACACGCGCTGGTTGCGCAGAGAGCTCTCCAGCTCGATCTGCACCGACTCGTCAGACCAGAGCTGCAGGAGCTCCACGATCTCCGGGTCGGTCCAGTTGCTACCTCTTTCATACCTCCTGGTGCGGAAGTCCATAATGCATCTAAGTTGTATTCTGCAACAGAGGAGACGCGCCTGGTTTAACTTTAACAGCGTTGATTATATCTCATCTCTGTTCAAAGTTATTAACCACCCTCTCACCTTAGAACAAAAGTGCAGCTCTTCAAAACACTATTGATGTGGTGTTGTCATTCTGGTGTTGCATCACGGCACATTGACCCTATTTCTGCTGAGCGTTTGTTAGAATGTGCTGGTTTTTTTTACTAATTCTGTAATAATCTGCTCGTAACTTCACAGGATTGGGGGAAACAGACGCACACAATATCTGCATCCGGGTTGACGGCACATGCGTGCTGTCCTTATTCCGGGATAACTTTGGCTCGTGTTAACTGCAAGGGGCTGCTGTAAGCGGGCTGGCTTTCACTCGTATTAGGCTGCAACTGGGCAGATACACAGACTCACACGGCTAATGAGACAGAGTTATGGCGCCATCTAGCGTACGGTGTGCAGTCCTGCTCCAATACTGTACCTCTAATGTTGAACCATGAGAGGGCAGTGACACACAGTAAATAGATGCGCTCTACTCTCATTAAGGGATTCGAAATGAAATATAAGGGCAGGAAGAATTTGTTTAAAATGATAAAACTAACTAAATCGACACAGAACAGCTAAAACGCCAACACAAAGTTATTTCATATTTTCTTTGCATTTGTTAAACATTTTTTATTTAGTTTAAATAATCCTGGAATATCGTTAGGCCTAAAATTTGTTTAATAAATTGAGTTATTAATATAGTTTATTTTAGTCCGTTTTACTTAACAAAATGATAGAGCAGAAATTGCGGATTATTTATTAACCCCAGCTCCATATATATATATATATATATATATATATATATATATATATATATATATATATATATATATATATTCCTCTTGAAGAGTTCTGGATAAAGCATATTGACAGATGAAAAAGCTTTTTCATCTTAAATGCAAAATGTTTCTATATTTTTTTCGTTTATATTTTTTTTAACAACTTTGTTGTCTCAAGGGGTGGTTGATCTATATTATTATATTTATATTTTTACAGTCTGCAAACTCCAATTCGCGATTAACAAAATTAGTTGACGATTATTTGAATAATCGATTAATCACAATTAATCTGATTGTTTCATATATATATATATATATATATATATATATATATATATATATATATATATATATATATATATATATATATAGTATTATTATTTTGGCTTTAAAGGTCATTAGTCCGATTTATTAACACAAAATGTACTTCCAATCGATCCTACAGCAATCTGCAGAGCGAACCTGCCACACACAATATGAAAGATCCCTTGACGTGTCGGTTCTGCTCTGTAACATTTATAATGTGTGGTCTACTCTGCTGTATTAGAGCAACTATGAGATTTTAATAGCCAAAGGACTTATAGCCGCCCATGCGAACTGGCATGGTGATACAAACCAAGCGTACATGATTATCATACGTGACGTATTTCCTGGAGAAAGGAGGTTTGTGGCAGTTTGTTGTCATCTTCAACCAATAGTGAACCGCTACATTGTATCGGCACTGACTCTTGTTATTTCAGCCGTAATTGTTCTTTCATATTATTGATACCAGCCGAACGCTCTCGATAAAAAAATAATTTATTGTGTTTATGAAAACCTTTTGAAATTTTGAACGCAACGTTTGAAATTAATTGTATTGAAATATAAAAGCATGGTGCTGTTAAGTTGTTTGCGGATGAGAAGCAAGGAGTTTCATTGGATACTTATTGGAAAATAATGGATACGTGCGGGTAGCTTTAAAAAAAACAAATTCCTGAAGAAAGTGAAGGAATTTAATGTAAAGTTGGGTAGTTAGAGAACAGGAGAAAGAAACGGACAGGGGAGTCTACGCTCGGAGTAAGGAGGAGGAGGAGGAGAAGAGGAGCATGACGGCTCGGTCCTTATGGCTGTTATCTGACTTTCTGAGGTAATTGTTTGGACTTTTTCTTTTATTTGTTGCTAGTTTTTTGTAAAATTCACGACTACGATGTGCAGGGAGGGGAAGTGAGGCGGAGTGGGTGGGAACACAATGGGATTATTGGAAGAAAGCGTCGCGCTGTCTCTGTCCGCAGCCTCCACCAGTCCTCCCAGTCAGGTGAATCTCCCCCAGTTAAGACTCTGGGTGATACAGACTTTATAAATTCAAAACATGGAGGACTTTCCGTCACCTGTAGGGGAGAAGAAAATTTCCAGCTGTGATTTGTGGCGTTTTTCAATGAAGTTTATTATCATCTGCAAAATACTGCTTTGATTTAAACTGTTTTAGTGCTTTTCTCTTTGTCCAGTGTGTTTTTCTAATGAAAGTTTTCAACAGAAACCGATAATAACTACAAAAGAAATCAAGTTTATAGTTGAAGTTCTTATTTTTTTAGAGGTTGGTTTGATATTTTTATTGTTTATATGATTCAAGCATAAAATCCAATTGTGACAGCATTTATAGCTGAGCCCATGTTTGTACCTTTTAACCCAAGATTTTGCTGGCTGTAGATGGTAGGGTTTAGGGGTTTATGCAGGTAGCATGCAGAAGATTATGTTAAAAAAAAGGTCAAAATAAAAATTTCAGATTGGTTTTGATATTTAAGGTTCATGTTCTGTCTCAGAGAAAAGAAAAAATGAAAACCTCTTCTCTCTACTTATTATTTAGCAGGTATTATTTCAAACATTCCAATTTTCACTGCTTAGATTATTACCTGGAAGAAAAAAAAAAACACACAAAACAAAACAAACAGAAGTGTTTTGTGTTTAGTAGCGAAAAACACAAAACATCTTATATTGCAGCCTTTCTAGGAAAGAAAATTGTTTTAGAGACATTAACAAAATAGATTAAAATGTAAAATAAAAAAAATCTATTCTTACTCGTCTTTTAAATTGATGAATATTTTGATGTTTAGTCTATTGGTTCTCGTTTGTTTTGTTTTCTTGTTCAATAATATATATATATATATATATATATATATATATATATATATATATATATATATATATATATATATATATTTTTTATTATTATTATTATTTTTATTTATTTTTTTTTTGCCACAATACCCTTTTGATTCAGAGAAACAGACCATTTCTGATATATCTGATTAGAACATACAACGTGGAGGGGTCAGATACTAGAGCTTTCTTCTTTTTCTTTAAAGTTATGCCTTCACAGCCTGCACCAAGTAGCTCGTTCTGTCGTTGCAAGGTGTGAATTACTCTGATAAATCTTATTTATCGCTCCTCCTCAGGCAAAGCTGGAATTGTTTAAAACTAGCTATCCACCACTCCTCCTCATACTGTCATTAAATACTACATTTGTGCCTATTGAACATAATCTCTGCATGCTCCGTGTGAACAAATAGGAGGGGTGGCATTAAATCCTGAAATGATTTACTTTACATCCGATCGTGCCCCGAGGAAAGCATTATTGTTATTTTAATTTCCACTGGGATATCAGCGGAGAGAGGAAATCAAGGTCACCAGCCCAGCAGGGCTCTGAGCATTATTCTCTGACGGATTACACAGCAAATCAAAGTTACTCTGTAAAGCTTTTATTTATATATTTATTGTCCGTGTTTTTGTTCAGACTACATTGTGTCCAGGATCAAAGGTATTAACAGGGATTGCGCTTCTGTTTTTACGGTAGCTCTAAAACGATCATCAGTATAAAAAGTTATACAGTACTGATAAGTCTATTCCTGAACTCCTCATTTTAGAGAGAGAGATATTAAATTGAGATGCTGTGGAGAAGGAAGTGTGATTAAAAAAAAAAAACTGTTGTATTCTATAACTCATCTATAAGAAGGGCAAAGGGTGCAGCAGGTGAAGGAAAGTTCAACCCAATAAGCAATGACAACATTCAGATGGCTGTTGAAAATTGGGTTGGATCCCTCTATGGAGCATTATTTACACAATTGATTGCTTCTCCTAGATATGCTGCCGCTTCCACCCAGCATACTTTATCAGGCTTCTCCAATTCTGCAGTCTGTTGTTTGTGGGAGCAGAGAAATGATCTGGTTTCTGTCTTCATTGTGGACACACTGCTTCCATCCATTTGTACACCGCTGTCGTGACCAGGCATGGCGTGCCTCAGCACCGCCTCCTTCTGACCAAGCTCCTAACTTTGATCAGTTTTCCCTCCCAGGAGACGATACTTGGCTGTCAGTGGCACTACATAAATGCTGCCACACACTTGCCTACCCTTGGTTCCACAGCAAAGGGGGCAGCCCGGAGCACCTGGTGGGTGTTGATTTGGCTGAGGGGCTGCCTGAAATAGAGCTGCATATGGTCTGTCACAGCTCCATGTGCTTGTTATTACTGATGCAAATCATGTGTGCATCAAGATGAAGGGTTTGAAAATCACATCTCTCTCAGCTAACACTAATGCAGACAAAGTTACCTGAACGTACAAGCCCACTGTGGGATACACTCCTTTTACACTGTACAGCACGCTCATGGGCGCATTATAATGATTAACTTGAGGTGATTTTTTTTTTTTATGAACAGAATATCAAATTTGACAATTAATAAAATACCTGTACTTAAGCAACCATCTGTGTTTGACAAGGTGTTCTGACATTCATTTTTGCTATTTATGTTTTACCTTGACATGATGCTATTAATTCAAGCCTCGATTTTTCAGTTAGAGAAAACGTGAAAAATACCATACTTTTATTTTGACTACATTTATTTATTTGGGAGAAATAAATACATATATGGAACGAAAATACATATGGATTTAGAAATCAAATTGCTCTTAATTTTTACTTTAGATATCAAAGGTCCATTCTCTCCTACTTCAACCCTTCTTTATCAGGCTGTGTTTGATTTCGGTGGCTGCATCCTTCAAAGGATCCAGCCTACCTAGACTGTGTCTTTCAGAGTCTCTGAAAATAAGGGCGCCATAAAAGTTTGGATATAGATTCGGACAGGTCCAGCTGTCAGTTGATGAACAAAGCAGGCAAAGAATGGAGGTAGCACTTCTTATTACTCTTCTGTGTGCTAATTACATTTCTGAGGAGCTTCAGCATCCGCACCGTTATCGCAAATATCAGATTTATAGTCCCCACATGGCACAGATATTAGACTCTGTGCTTAAATGTCAGCAGAACAGGGACATATCCTACTTAATAATCATCAAAAAAAAGATTTTCATTAAGTTAAGACAAAATTATTCACATACTTGTGAATTACTCCATCCATCTTCTGACACGCTTTATCCCAAGTAGGGGTGCGAGGGGTGCTGGTGCCTATCTCCAGCTTTCTACGGGCGAGAGGTGGGGTACACCCTGAACAGGTCGCCCATCCATTGCAGGGCAACACAGACACAAACAGGACAAACAACCATTCATGCCCACACTCACACCTAAGGTGATTTTAAAGAAGCCATTAAACCTAACATACATTTTTTGGACTGTGGGAGGAAGCCAGAGTACCTGGAGAGAACCCACGCACAGAACCTCCAACCGAACCTCCAACCTTCTTGCTGCAAGGCAGCAGTGCTACCCACTGTTCCACTGAACAGGCATTATTAAACTGCACTTAATATTCAAAACCGATTGTCGCCATTTCGCTTTTTCCTCTGAGGACGGAGCAGCCGGCTTGCTTGGGCTCACAATTAATGACGGGATACCCAAGGCTACGTGGGATACAACATACCTGTCCTTCTAGCCTGGCGAAAAATAAAGGCTGCATTTGTCGGCCACATACGAAGGAGTCTTCCAATCCGAATGGGCCACAGTGCCGTGCTATGATATAATCGGCGGATTATTCTGGCCTTGCGAGGACGCGGCCGCTGAATTTAAACATGGCATCAGATGGTTGCATCAAACCAAAAGCCTGTTAATTAGCTATCAATGAAATTCAGGTGTGCTGATCTGAACAGGACACTGACTGCAGTTGGACTTCTCTGTCTTAGATGCTATTCAGAATCAGTGACAACAACCCTTTAAACCCTTTAAAAAAGGGACTATTATGGAAAATTCACTGTTTCTTGTTGGATCTCTGCTCCTTCTAGAAACTGGAAAAAAAGAATAAAATAAATCAGTAAGCTATTTTTAGTAATAAGCAAATATATGATTACTGGAAAAAAAAGCATTTTTTTTAAAAAACTTCACCATTATTACATTAATTTGGTGGCCACTGCCCCCCACCAAGTAAGCCCAAAGTTAAACAACTTCTAAAATATAACACATTACTTTCATATCACATCTTACATTAAAGCTGTAATTAAATTAAGAATTAATCATATCAAATTAACATTGGACTTAATGCTTACCCTAAAATGTGCACATATAAATCAATTACATTGACCTACAGCTGAAAAGACAGAGAATTTGCTGTTAGTCGTATGCCAAACCCCAAAGGGATGCTATCTCTTTTAGCTTCTTATTTTTCTATCAGATTATTTCATCCCAAAACAAACAAAATGCCTCCTTTATGGTTCTTAACACAAACCAACACTTTAGAAGAACATAAAACTTAGAGATAGCTCTCTTTAGGCAGTTGAGAAGACATAACAGGACAGTTTAAGACTGCAGACATGTGGCTTATTTGCATAAAAGTGACAGAATCCTCGAACAGCTCATGCTAAAAGGAGCTCAAAATAGACAGAAAGTGAGGAGGTGAAATCTCATCATCTGAGTTTGAATGTGGTTGAAAAAAATGGAATGGACATATTTTGTATAGCATATAGACCTATACCAAATCTATATAATCAATTATATAAGGTTCCCTTTAGGTATAGAAATACATTTTTCTTCCTTTGAAACTGTTCTGAAGCATCAAACACATTTTAATACCAGATGAAGATAGCGTCACTTATGGTAAATTGCCTGTAGTTATAAAGCACTTTTTCAAGTCAAAAGATCCAAAGCTTTTGACACTACATTTCGTCATTCACCCATTCATTCACACAATTATGGTGGCAAGCTACCCTGTAGC